CATCTAGATACGCCACTGACTTACATGGCCAGATGAATGAAAAATACTCAATCGATGTACCATTAAATCGTAACCAACCTTCACCATTCCCCCACCATGTCACTGGGGACGCAACTGCCAAAAAACTATTTTTGGCAGCGAAGGGACGCTACCAATAAACAATCAACAAACTAACAGGTTTCTGGGTTGATTTGCAAGGTACTACATGGCTCAACTATTTTTTACTTTGGGATTAATTGGTAAAAATCGCACACAAATCATACAACGTCACACAACGCCGGGGACGGCAACTCCATTTTGAGATTAATTTTCCGAATAAAGTTATACTAAATAACTTCTAATGACGAACTATTGTCTTCAGTTGTCTTTGTTGGTCATATAACTGTCATTTCCTCTATTTTTTCGGTGATATTACCATTCTCAATAATCTATAAAACACCCACATAACAATGTCACGTTATCGATCGGTGGGGACGCCGGTAGGGTCAATTTTCGTCGGAAGGTATCAAGATGATAAGCAAGTTCAAATTAGCCTAAATTATGGCGATTTTTTATTACTTATTTGATAGGCATCGAGCTACTATAATATGACTTCATGTAGTCATAATCAAACCAAAACATTTTGAATAAAACAAGAAACAAAGAGTTTGCAATGTAACCATCTAATTTACACTTAACGCTGATTAACGCATTCTGGTTGTCAACGAAGTCTATTTTACGAGGTACCATGTCGAATGAAAATAATACTCAACAAAAATTCGTACTCAACGAAATGAAGCAGTCGAATGCCCATTGTCAAAGTCTTCTCGACGATTGCACAATAATAGAGTATTTGACATAACCGAAGATACTAACGGCGTTCCATAGTTTATTAGAATATACGGGATTCTTTATCTTTATTACGCCCCAGCTTCGATTCGGAGGTGAAGTGTTTTATTAGGGTGGGTTGAGTAAATTAGTATCTACCTAGCAACTCTTATGCTATGTTAAGCCTAACTTACATACTAGCTAGGCCTAAGACTGTGACGTAGCGTAGGCTTAGCCTAGGCCCTAGTAGTAGTAGTAGTAGTAGTAGTAGGCCTACTACGCCTAGGCCCTAGCCCTAGTAGTAGTTGAGGCATTAGGCCAAGCCTAAGTACTGTCTGTAGGCCTACTGGGCCTAGTAGTAAAGTGCATTAGCGCCCTAGTACTAACTACTAATAGCTAAGCCTAGTGCCAACCAAGTGATAAAGGCCCAAGGGGCAGATTGGGCTAGGACCTCCTAGCTAAGAAGCCTACTACTAGTCTAGAGATGCAGGAGTCTCCTGTCTGTACTCTCTCTGTGAGCAAGTGAAAATCTCTCAGAAACACATTCTCAGAGGAAGGCAGCTTCAATGAGAGAATTATGCTGCGTTCATTAGAACTTGTGAAAACTGATTTCACAACTTGTAACATGCGAGTACACAAGAAGAGTGCATTCATTTGATGAACACTAAATGGCTGCTGTCACTTTTGCAATGTGTTCGGAAATAAAACATATAAAAAAACTTTTTTTTTAATCTGAAATAATATTACTTAAACAAATTGCAATAAATATGTTGGGTTGCAAATAAAACATACAAACAACACTCTTTTTTTATCTGAAATAATATAACTTAATAAACAAATTGCAATATATACCTATGCTTGTTGTGCATAGTTTGTGTTACATCCGCCATTTTCCACACTATTTGTGCAAATCCAGGAAGAAAATTCTACTCGGGTTCACAACTTGTGTTTACAAGTTCACCGAGCAGATGAATGTGTTTCACAAGTTGTGAACTGGGAAATACCATGGAGGAAATATTAAATTTTCCTCCATGGAAATACAGTACCAACTTCACAAGTTCTAATGAATGCGGCATTAGATGTGTTATGAAAGCTCATTCAACTAGATCTCCCAACTTAAAACTCAAGTAACAACTGTAAAAATAATGTACAGTACAGTACTCTGTTCTATTCAACAATAATTTTATTAATTGTTCATTTAATTTTTCAGAACTATTGTTTTTGTGTTAGAGATTACTATGGCGACACAAAGTGAAGAAATGGATCATGAGACAGCCTTGCGTCTTTTTGAAGAGGGTGGCACTTTGGTATTTCTCAATGTCCCTGTTGGAACTGAATTCGGAATAGACTACAACATTTGGAATGTTGGTGAAAAATTTAAGGGAGTAAAAATGATTCCTCCAGGAATGCACTTTGTTCATTATAGTGCCACTAGCTCCTATGGAATTGCTCCACGAACAGGATTTTTTCATTACTTTAAAGGAAAAGAGGTTGTAGTGAAGAAATGGGATAAATTGAACGAGGAGATGAGCAGTGAAGTTGCAAGTTCCGAGGAAGTGGATAGAATCCGAATGGATTTACGTAATTTGGATAAAAATCTTGCACCATACCCATACAGTTCATTGAAAAAGTGGGTTTCACTTACAAATTACATTTCTGAGGATGTTGCAGCGAAATTACAACCAGCAAGTGGCTTAATTGCATCTGCTTCTCAGCTTGTGTCAGATGATCCGACAAGGACTACTAAAGACAGAGCATCACTCAGGAGCAAACAACAAAATATTAATGATGCCGGACCATCTCAGGAAAACCTTCCTAACATGCATTGTAAACCAGGGACAGAGATCAATTTCAGTTGCATACCTAAAGATACTCACCCCCCAAATGCCACTCCAGATAAAATAACCAAATATGGTATGGATTCCAGCTATCGCCTTGAGACATTTGTCTCATCTAATTACAAAGGTCATATAAATGGCATTTTAGCGGAAATACAGTTTGTTTTCATATGTTTTATTGTTGGACATGTTTATGATGCCTTTGAACAGTGGAAGAATCTTGTCCATTTGATGTGCACATCAGAGGAAGCCATGTCCAATCAAGAACAACTTTTTGAGAATTTCATCTCGCTTTTGCACTTCCAATTGAAGGAGATTCCATCAGATTTTTTTGTAGATATTGTGTCGCGTAGTAATTTCCTCACAATAACATTACAGAGGTTATTTTCTAACATTGAAGAGGGATCCAATATGTCTACTATGTTGAAACAGAAAGCCAAAAAGTTTAAAGCAAATTTAACAAAAAAATTCAAATGGGATTTTGACTTGGAACCAGATGATGAGGCACCTGTAGTGGTGGAACTTTAGTAACAATAAAAATACATTTGTAAGAAAAGATGACATTGAGCAGTTGTGGTTGGTAATATATGCATGAAGTTGAGGGAACTGTGCTCCAAAGAGAACAGGTTGGGGGTGGGGGCAGGCGGTCAGAGTTCCCTTACTTTTCCAGGAGGCATAACTCATGGAAGCTCGAATATTAGATGTACAGTTAAACTTGCCTAAGCCGACACTGCCTATGTCAATCTTATTTTACATGCCAGATTGTTGTGTTTTCCATTGATTAACAATCTGTAAGTAAAATAATATTTCAATGCCATTTTGGATTCGACCAAGTTCAACTAGTATTAAATTGCCTCTCTGCAGACGAACTTGCATCATAGTACTTATAGGCTGTGGGCCAACATCATTCATTTTAGTGATATTGTGCATTATTCAAAGCGTACTACCGGCAACATAGCACTACATACAGTACATCATTTGTACGTTATCGCCCTAAACAACACCCTGTGGGAAAGTATACTCGTCGCTGGCAGCCAACGTGTTAATACATACTAATAGTGGAATTGCCACTTTTACCTAATTTTAAAGTGCGAATGTTGGAATTTCTGTACAATAAAATAAGTATCCGTAGAGCATATTGAGCATATAAATAGCAATTTATTGTATTTCTTTGATGGTATTACATTTGTACGCAACAATTACTCAAAAAAACAGAGATATGGTATTACATCAGCCTCCACACATAATTACACCCCTAAATTATTCATGGAATCACCTCATCATTGCTGACATATTTTGGTATTACTCTAAATAGAAATACAATAGGACAATATGAAGATACACTAATTCTTGATTAGTTGCACCTGCAACTAATATTGTATTCTTTTCAAATCTTATATTAAATTTGTAAAGTGATGTCATATTAATAAACAACATTTATTCACTATAAAACAATTACTGGTGGTTACACCAAGTTAATGAAGCAATGCTTTTAAGGAAAAGGTATTTACAATAAAATTGTCAACACTTCACTTTTAAATGTGAATTGTGAAATTTTGTGTGTCTATCGACTGTTGGCTAAAGCAGAAGTTCTTGAAGGGATTGAAGATACTTGCAGATTTCACAATGCAGGAAGCATACTGTTAATACAAAAAAAATATACTGTACTAAATAATATTTATCACAACAATCCGATTGATTTTGGATAACACAGGAAACAAGCTTGCATATACAATATTTGTACAAAAATATAGAAAAGTCAAATACTTTACATGCAGTGAAATGTCAAAATATGCACCACAAAAAAGGAAATGACCAAACGCAGCGCAGAATGGTCACAATCTTGCAATATGATCACTATGATGCAGTACGATCACTAGCATGTCACAATATACTGTATTATGTCAATATAATCTCAAAATATGATCACACTATATCATCACAATATGATCACTAATGTATCACAATATGACAATCATGTAACACATGATCACAATATAATGACAATCACAATCATGTCACAATGTAATTTCACAATGTGATCACACTACATCATGTCACAATATGATCTCAAAATATGAAGATCATGTAACACATGATCACAATATGACAATCACAATCATGTCAATATAATCTCAATATGATCACTATATCTTCACAATCATGTCACAGTATGATCTCAATATGAAGATCATGTAACACATGATCACAATATAATGACAATCATGTCAATATGATCTGACAACATGATCACTATTGTATCACAATATAAAGATCAAGTAACATGATCACAATATGACAACCATCATATCACAATATGAAAATCACAATTATGTCACAATAAATCTCACAATCTGATCTCAATTATGTCATAATTGATTCCAATCATGTAACAATATGACAACAATCATGCTACAATAAAATAACTATCATGTTACAAAATGATTAAAATTATCTCACAATATGATCACAATCATTTTGCAATATGATCAGTTATATCACTATGTGTTTGTAATAGCACTGTGACAAGATCAAAATCATGTCACAATGTGATCCCAAAATTTTACCCATTTTATTTCAGGTGTTGGTTCTCTATCTTCGTCAACATAAAACAAATATACAAAATATAATATATTGACCAACTGACAGTAAGTATTAATGTTAAGAGTAAGAAATAAAATATGATATGTTGATCTGTTGATGATGCATGCAATTACATAACACAAATACGACAAACTGTTATGGAGCTAGAACAGCTACAACCAATACTTACACATTCCTAGCATCATTCATTTTTTTTTTTATAATTGCAATACCAGAAACTAAACATAGAATCGGATATTGTATATGCAATAATTATGATATTGTATATGCAATAATTATGATAATTTTCTACCAAAAAATGCATACATATTTCCTAATTGCCTTGTAAACCATACTTTTTTATTCATTTACCATCTTTTAAAACAAAACAAAAAAACAAAAAAAAACCAGAACAAATAACTCTTTATAATCATAACAAAAATTAGAAAAATATAAACATTAAAAATATAAACTCTAAATTTAAACATAGGTTGAACTGGCATTCACTGATTAAGGGTTGTTGGAAAAAACTTTCATTATGAATTTCAATGGCGGTTACATGCTTGAAGGGCTAATAGCCCTCCATATTGCCAACAATTGATACTTTACCCTTTAAGACAATTTATGAGACCATGGTCACAAAATTATGTCTTCGAAATTAAGTGCAGAAATCAAAGAGGGATGCAGGGGGTGGGTGAGTAGGATGAATGCATGGAAGCACCATTAGATAGGTTAGACAACATGGAGAATGCAGGTATGAGGAGAGATATAGAGATGGGTTTTAATTAGGTGAACTTCAAAGAGACAAGAATTTGGAGGGTAGGGGTAAAGGAGAAATACTGCATACATTTTGACATTTCAACTTTCTTCATACAGACAATGTACGGCTGAACAAGTACTTTGAGATATGATTCTTAGATTTCACTATAAAATATAAATAAACAAAACATGTACTTACACCTAATGCTAAATTACCTAGTCATACTTAATAATAAACAAAAATGATGAAATTAATAATACAGTTCACCCCCAGTTCAAGACCTCTAATTCAAGACCAAAAAACTTTTACCACAAAGTTAACCCTCTAATTGGAGACCGAGACCATCCCATAATTTCAGCTCCAAAGCAGGTCTTGAATTAGAGGATGAACTGTTATAATAATAATAATGATGATGATGATGATAAGTACAATAATAATAGTCATCTTATTACAGCATTTTGTCTAGATTAAATCACTTTGTAAACACAACCTATTTAAGAAATAATACTATTTTTGTCCAGTTGCAATACTATAGGGTGGGTATTCTAAAAGCACGTCTATGTCCTCAGCAATTAAATGCCTGAATAAATTGCTGCTTTTTTACTGTATGTGTATATTTTTAATACTACAGTTACAAGTTTATATATATAAACAAAAATAGAGTACTCAAAATATAACAGATGGGTGTTACATTTAGGGTACATTGAATAAGTTATTGAAACAAGGAGTAATCTAACAACCAATATATCATACTCAGAATGAGCACATCACCTACTCAGTAGTGGTGCCAGCAGGGGGAATTCCACCCCACCCCCCAGACAGGCCTGGAACCCGTAATCCGACGCATGACCAGGTTGTAAGATAAAAAATGAATAAAAAATTAATAATTTGCCTATCCAAATAACATAATTTTGATTGCCAATTTCTATTATTGTGGTCTAAAAGCGCATTTTGGATACTAATCTATAAAAACTCTCCCCGTGAATCTTACCTAGGATTTTTTATTGTGGGTCGTCGACCGAGGTTGGATCCCTGGTTGGCAATATTCTGGCGTCACTGCTGCACCTACCAATTGTCTAATACTTAAAGTATCATTCCAACTCGTATCCATTATTCAAAGATTTTATACCATACAGAGTATTACATGAAATATAACAGACCTAAGGCAACAATTCCCTAAATACAGTTATTTTATAAAGTTTAGATTTATGAATGAGAAATTGAAATTGCACATCAATAACTGTAAGCTTTTTTTTTTATTTTAAAGTAAATATTTACTAAAGTATGTAAACAGAAACAATTACAATACCAGGAAATAAAACACAACCTACAAACAATAGAAAGTACCTTGTAACTGGGTGGTAGGAAGAATATAAAATTAATAAGGTGGTAAAAAGTAAAGTTATAGTGGTAAAATATATATAATATAATATACATATATATATATAAATCCTTGTTGATTGTTTGATCAGTGTATTTATCTTTCTAAATTTTTTTTTTAAAGAAAATATTTACTAAAGTATGTAAACAGAAACAATTACAACACCAGAAAATAAAACACAACCTACAAACAATAGAAAGTAACCTGTAACTGGGTGGTAGGAAGAATATAAAATTAATAAGGTGGTAAAAAGTAAAGTTATAGTGGTAAAATGGGGTGTAAAATGTTCCCTCACTCATCACCAATCATTTTTCATAATCTTACAAGCATTGTTAATTAACATCAGTAGGTACTTAATGTGCATTTTGAGTAATGCCATTGTCAAGCGCCACTGAACACTCCATTCTGCTGTGGATATTGGCGCTATATAAATCCTTGTTGATTGTTTGATCAGCGTATTTATCTGGCTAAAATTTAATGGTGATTTTAATGCAGGGTTGTTGAGGCAAATATGAATTTAACAAAAACAGTTTAGATTATTCTAAAGCTTTTTTCCTATATTTTGTAGTCACCTTAATAATTTGAATGTATGTGTTAGGATGGTTATTTCACGAGCGCTTACACATATAGGTAAAATCCATTGCAATTACCAACAAATTCAATTACATCTATTTGTAAAATATGAACAATTATCTATATACTACTATAAAAGGGTTGGAAATTTAACATTTTTAATGATTTAGGAGAGATAGAAGTTTAAATCAATGAATTTAAACTATAGTCAGCAGAAAATAAACAAAATTATTAAATTAAAACTGCCCATTGAGGGCGAACAATACATTTTTTTTTAAATCAGAAAAATATTAGACTGTAAATCCAAAGCTTACACTCTGCTAAATAATCACAAAGATTCCATGACAACAATTTAAAACCTGTGTGTCAATTACCAATTCTATTATTATTTCTACATTTATCAAATATGTAAAACCCATTATTATGTGATGCTGGTTTGGACTAATGTTCATACACATAACACAGCAGTAACCAAATCTGCTGCTATTTAGCAAAATCCAAAAGAATTTGTCGAGCCATGACAATGTTGTCTTCAGTGATTTTCAAAGCTTTAAGGATCATATTTCGATCGAACCCCTCACTGCTTAGGATGTCAACCGGCGATGGAGATGGAGAGGCCATACGTGAGGGCGTGCTACTACCAGATCTGGCAGCAGCTGGCTGCTCGTCGCTACCAGGTGGTTTTGGTAAAGGCCTGATATTCAGGTTCTGCGTAGGATGTTCATTGTTAGGTATTTCTGGAGAAGGGGTCAGTGGCTGTAAAATGAATAATGTCAAAGTTTAAAATAGACTGTAAATAGCTGCTATATACACCTGGATGTGCAATAATTAAATTATAGTGATAATCAGGTGTGCCTAGATAGTAGGTTATTTATTATTTAATATAAAATGATAATTACAGAATATTTACAATTTTAACACAAAGGACTAATTATGATTATGATTATGATTATTTATTTCTGTCTTTTGTGTGATTAGACCATAATGACAAATTAACTAAAAGGAAAAACCACATTAACCATTTATAAAATTCTCTTTTGATTTAAAAACTAATAATAGAATAATAGAGTGGACAATGTTTTGTTTCAAATATTAATCACTCTAAAACCACATTAGGATCACGTCCAAATCATTTTGACATGTAACATGCAAAAGCACTTAATTAGTAATGGATCTAGAAGCGGGCCTGTGTGCCCCATTGCAGAAATCCAGCAATGTCCCCCTGTAATAAAACCAATAGAGTGTTGACGTACATGTTGTGGTGAAGTATTTGTTGTTGGTGACTGAACTGGTGGTGAAGGTACTTTACGTCTTGCTAGCATCCTAGAAGCATTGGACTTCTCAACCAATCCAAGACCCACTATATCGTAGTCATCTGGAGTCCGACGAACTAAACATCACAAAAAATTAACATTTTATATAATGCACATTATTTAAATGCCATTATCAAAGCACTGATCCAAAACAACCCAGTGAGTCAGACCATGCTCTGACTCACCAACAGGCCAAGCTATGACTCAATTTCAGGTCATGCTATGACTCAATCATAGGCCATGCTCCACTCAACAACAGGCCATGCTCTGACTCAACAACAGGCCATGCTCTGACTCAACAACAGGCCATGCTCTGACTCAATCAAAAGCTATGCAATGACTCAATCATAGGCCATGCTCGGATTCAATCACAAGCCATGCTATGACTCAATCATAGGCCATGCTCTGACTTAACAACAGGCCATGCTCTGACTCAACAACAGGCCATGCTCTGACTCAACAACAGGCCATGTTCTGACTCAATCGCAGACCATGCTTTGATTTGAATTGTAGTGTGAAATGTATACACAATTTGTCTTTACTTTTCATGTGCTGTACAACTTCAAATATGTTGTTTAGAAAAATAAAATGAAATGGCAACTGGTTGCTTTTTTCCAGAAATGTTAAGTTTCATTACAATTACATTGCAAAAGATCACATTACTGTTACACTATAAGATAACTTTGGTAAAGTATTAGTCGTAAACAAGAAGTATATTGAGATTAAGATGCACAAAGCAAAGTCAGACTTACAAGATTATTTAACTTTTAAGCTGGTTTTACACTAAGCGAATTTATTTGTGCAAATCGAAAGCATCGGTACATGCGCATTCACATTTCTATTGAAGTTTTTAACTTCAGCAAGAGTGTTTCTACTTTTTGCAAAGCGAAAAAATGTGCAACCAATCAAATCTCAGGAAGTGAATCGACGCTTTCAATTCTTGGGAATGAATATGCCTAGTGCAAAACAACACTAAATAAGGCAACACTAAGAAAAAAACACTGCAACACTAAAAGCAACATTACGATCCATGTTTTCTAATTATTGGCAATACATTGGTAAACACATGTTTCCATTTGTTGAGTCACAAATACTATACTTTGCTAAAAATGTTGCTTGTTGAGCTGTTCCCTGTTTGTTGTGGTTTCCTTTGATGTGTAATTAACTGTTTTGTTGAATAATTACTTTGGTAAACAAATGATGTGTTTCTGTTTCCCTCGGTGTCATAAGCTTGGTAAAAACATGTTCCTATTTGTGTTTTGCTTCCCAATTACTTATTGTTGATTTTTTTTCCATAGTTAAATCATTACTTGGCTAGAAGAGGTGTTTCCATTGTTTTATAATTTGTTGTTTACTTCCATTTTATTGTGTTTTGGTAAAACATGCATGTTATTTGAATATGAAATATATATATATA